AAGATCTCATCTTGTCCACGAAAACCATAATAAAATATCAGCAAATTATAGTTCCATGCTTTCAGGATAGCCCCTGGCATGGAATCCCATCTTCGCCCCACTTCCGCCTTCTTTCCGCAAGTGACATGACGTCTGCAAGCCAAGTTTCCAACCAATGAAGGTATGGCGGGCGGCATTTTGCCTGAAGGTAAACAATACCAGAGATTGCTTCATTACTTTATGCTTGTGTAAGAACTAAAATATTATTAAGTCTGAGCAGGAGGCATCGAATAGAGACTATATTTATTTTTTAATGTTTAGTTTTTCTTCTTTTTTATTCACCAGACATCTACTTAATAGCAATTTGAATATGCTGGGAATAGAAATACTAGCGTGTAGAAAATAAATCGAGACGTGAAGAATCAAAATATTTTATTTGAGTCGCCAAGATACCAACGATTTGTGTTCACTCTGCCTCCAGTCGAAGTTGACCTCGTATTTCATCCACGTGTACAGGATGGCTTCGAAGTCGGAACGTTTCCAGCCATAGATTCTGTCGCTTCTTGCCGGTTCCATTTGGCCTACAACCAGCCACTTAACCTGTTGTTCGTGCTTAGACGTTTAGTTGATAGGCGAGTTTCTTTTTGCCCATTTGTACTTCAAAGTTTTGTCTTCGAAGAGTCATGTCTTTCCAACAGTTACTCAGCGCATTACTTGGGCTCATATGCTCATTGTGTGTTAAATAGGCCTCTCGATTCAGTAGGATCCTGGTGCTTAAGCCTGTCTGCTTATCTCTAATTGGAATTGTTTAGACTCGGCATGTAACTGACCGGTTTATTGTTCTACATTCACTCTTCGCATTCTTGAAATTGTGTTATTTATCTTCTCAAGACTTTTCATTGTATGGCCTACCTTTGTGTGTTGGCAGGCAAAAGCATGCCGTCTCTGAGTGTCAGCTTCAATACAGGCTCTCTTTCATTATGCCACAGAGTCACTTATTGTATCACCAAGCCCGACTACTCTCGAAGGTGTACGAGACGGTAGCTTGTGGCAACAAGGGGCAACAGGTGAAACTTTTTGGTGCGATGATAAGGCGATGAGTAGTTCATATGAGTAGACCATACAGTTTCATTGCATTTCACATAGCCTTGTTTTCCAAAAAGCCATTCTCCATCCTGGAGCAGACTGCCGTTTCAACCTCTTCTAGGCCTTGTCAGCACTAAGTTATGTTAATTTTCGAGGAGACATGACGTTTCCAGTCAACTTCAAATGTATGATCTACAGATAGTCTGGAAAGCCTACTTATAAACGAAAAGTAAGTAGTGTAGTCGATTGTTGTAGCAAATGTAACTTTGCTTCTTCGACAATCCCACCATTTGTAGTGGCTAACATGTCGGGATTGTAGGCTACAGTGTCATGGCTCGAGTTCCGCCGGGGGTGTAGCCAAGACATAGGCGAGGTCGAAACTGCAGTCCAGAATGGATGTGAATAAGTTTTAGGAAGCAAGGCTATGTGAAATTGAATGGAAACGTGATGTCTACGCATATCATTGTGGGAAATTTCCACCCACGACCTGTGCCACTGACTACTCGCCTTGTGCACATTGAAAGGTTGCAGATCCTTCATCTCCGAGCCTGCGATATCATCATTCCAGTGGGCCGATTTACCAGCATCCAAGTTTGATCGCCTTGCAGCCGCATAGTACAGGTTCCGTTGAATGCCTGTTGCAGATGCGTGATTGTATGTGTGTAAGTGTGATACAGACTAGTCGGACAAGAATTTGTTGTGTCACCATAGCAACACTGAATGCAAGGCTTATATACAAAGAACCCGATCGAAGCAGGTAATTTCGTCTCGGAATGGCTACAACCCGTGGAAGGGTCTATGACGTCTGTCGGGCAGTGGGGTGAGCACATTTGGGAAACTGTTGCATCCTCTTAACATTAGTCTGAATAGTCTGTTGTCTCAAACAAACAAAAAGTGAAGATCACAATGGCCACGAGTCCAGACTTGTACCGGGAGATAGTCTGTAGCACTGTTGACAATTGGTACCGAGTGGGAGTATCGTGGGTGGCAACGATTTGAAAAGAGAGGAAGTTGGTGTGACCAGGCGACCCAGGCATAGAAAGCATAAGATGTGGCAAATAGAAGGTATACATGACTTCAGAATGGATGCGCTTGTTCAGGAGTTGGTATCGTTTATGACGTAGGTCTACAAGCCTGCCTTCGAAACGAGTGCAATAGGGAAGAAGAAGACTGTCAAAAAGGTTATAATTCAAGTGAAATCTAAATTTTGCATCATTGCATA